CACAGTGACCACGGGTATTTATTATATTCGTGAATAATAATATTTCTTTTATTGTGTTTTATTTATTAGATCAGGATAGGTTTTCTTGCATATCGCGTTTTCAATAATATAATAGTTGAATAATAAACATGAATAATATAATATTAATAATTAATATAAGCATAAGCGTTAAAAATATATATTATAAAATTAAATCTGATATATGGGTTTAGAAATTTAAATTATACAGTAATGCTATATATTATTATTAATATGATAATAGATAATTTTTAATTTTATTATTTTTTTATTGTAATGTGTTAAATAATTTAATTTCTCTTTTATTATAAATTTAAATATGATTATTTGAAATATAAATATATCAATTCTATTTCGTACAAAAATGTATTAAATTTCATGTGCAAGAAGACATTTCGCGACAGATAAATTTCTAAATCAAAGCAACAAATTTTGAACATTGCTTTCTAATTTTCGAAAATATGTTTTGATTTAGAAATTATCTGAGATTATTTTCATTGACATTTCATTTATTTTTTTCAATTATTTCTCATTATTAATTTTTCCTTGTTCATTGCTAATATTTTTTTCTTATTTAATATTAAAATTAATAGCACTTGATTGAATTCATAAAGTTTGAAATAAAACAAATAGATTTTAAATCAAAAAATACTAATCCGTTAGAAAGAAAAGATATATTAATACTGTTTTTTTAGCTTAGGATTTTCAGATTTAACTTCCATATTCATTGCCAGGATCCTATTCACGTGCTCAGGTGCTACTTGGATGGGAGAGAGGCGATTAATATGATGATCATAGTTCATAAGTTTATAACAACTTTTCAGCGACTGACGATGCGTTAGTGTATCGTGCACGACGTATTTTCCACACTGTATGCGTGTATGTGTGATTAGGCTGTGGAATTGCGTCGTTTCGATTACAAATAAAAATATTATACCGTCATTAAACACACGAATTATAATATTCTTATTATTTTTACTATTAAATTAAATAATTATACCAAAATTCGTATCGCTTAAACAACTTACAAATTAAAAGACGTACGAGTTTTCTAAATATTCAAAATTAAAATATACACGTATTTTTATCGCGTTTCACGCAATGGTCGCTACCCATCGTCAGTCGATTTCAGGACAATGGTACGTAAACTTAGAGTATGCATGTAGCGTGTCAAGCTCGGGTGTCGGAGGCGTCCCGGGAACGCTCTCCCTAGTGTAGGTTTTTTGCGCCCGAGTATAATGCGTGAGAACCGTGGAGTGAGTGTGTTGGTGTGTTTGTTTTGCCACTTTTTTTAAATATAGAGCTAGGTAGGATAGGTAGCATACTTTCTGGTGTGAATGCGCTTAATTGTAAGCAGGCAGGGCCGGGCAGGTTGTCACAGTCTCTGGTCGGGTAGGCGCGTTTTCGCGTGACAACCTGTTTCAGGAAATGTAATTCGAAGAGTGGACGTGGTGAAGCCGTGACACGAGTGGAGAGTTCACTTGTCTCTTTTCTTTGCCCATCGACTCTTCGAATTCTCGCGGTCGTGGTCGCGATTTCATCTCGAAACGAACGTTGGCGCTCGAGATCCTGCATGTCATTCGTCATCCATGTGTGGTTTATTCTTTTTTTTTTTTTTTATTTTGTTTGCGATTAGAGGATCTCGAGCCTAGATTTAAGTTTCAGCGGGCATCGCGCTCGAAGAAAGAAGACGAAGAGGCCCGGACAAACTGTCACGAAGAGGGCTGCAACGAATGGTTTCTCATTTTTTGGATCTTGTTTGGATCTAAAGGATGGGAAGTCATTTTTATTATTTTGTCACTGTGCTCGTTTTAGTAATACGTAGTAAATGTTGTATCGTCTGGCCGATTGCATGCAGGCCCATCGTTCCAGTCATCATGGGCATCGCGTTTTTGTATTGCGATTGATTTACGGTAAAATTTTTCAATTTTGAATTAGAGTTGCGTTGAGATATCGCGTTTTTTATTAGAATTTATTTAAATTGTTTGTATTATTTCTTTAATTAAGTATTATTAAAGTTAATATCACTTGCATAATTAAATTCATTATTTTTGTTTTAAAGAAAATATTAATTTTTTTTTTAAATTAGTTTGTTATTGCGTTGTTGGCAATTTTTATTTTTCAATTATTTTCGCGTTGAAAAACGATCGCGTTTGTCGAGTAGTGTTGCGAATATTGAATGCCCATTAGGATTACAGAAGTTCCTGAATCACCTGGTGTAGCTAAAATGCTACATGGGTTACTATTCGCAGTCGGGAAGGAGACTGCATTGAATATCTCGCTATTAGTGTTGCGTGTATTGAATTTTGAGTGCATAGAATAGTATTTGTCCGTGTTGCATATCGTGAATATTCCAATTATTTTTGTTTTTTTTTTTCATTTGTATATATTGAAGCACTCATCGCGATTGATTTTTTAATAATAATAGTTTATTAGCGTTGCGAAATGAATATTCCATTCACGCGTTGTTCGGATTCATACAATGGAAAATATTTTTTAATAGTTCTTCTGGCTACTAAATTGATTTTTTTTCAGTATCCTTTATTGTATTTATTATAAAAAATGCTAAATTATTTATTATTATTACTTGAAAATTATTTTTCTTTTTTTTTAAATTCAAGTAATAACAATTCATTTTTATTTTTCAAATTTTTATTATTATATGTATATATTTTCTTTTCAGCTATAAATTATTTTTTTTTGCTAATCTATTGAATAAGTTTATTTCAGGTACATTTAGAGAAAGCACTATGGAAGTCTATCACCTATTTCAAATTCAAATTTTTCAATTAGTAGATTTTCTAAACAAAAAGTAAATTTTTTTAAATTGTTAGATGCTAGAAAAAGAAAAGAAATCAATCGAGATTTAATGTTAAAAAGTACTCTATCTGTATTTGGTATTATTTAGATTATAGGATGCTAGATGGCATAAGAAACGCTATATATCATAGGTGTATCGGTATCATAGGTCGATATGTTAGAATAAGTGACACAAACTGCCAGAAGATGTCACGTCTATTCCCTTCCTCATCAATCATTTTTATTCTGTTTGTTCTTCTTTCACTATTTATTATTTTTATCTATGACGTTATCTCAAATATCATTCCACTCATTCTGTAATATATATATTCTCAAGATTTAGCAAAATTCGAATAAAAAAAAGGATAGTTTTTTAAATTTATAGATCAGTTGATAAATTAATCTTGCAACATGTAGAAAAATGATATGATAAAATAGAAATTAATTAATGTATTCATTATATTCAGTTAAAATAATAAGAGAAGTAGAAAGAATTTTTTGAAAAAGACATAAAATAATAAACGATGATAAAGATTAAAATCAAATAAAAAATTCCACCAACTATGTGTAGTATACAAAACAACAATGTTTTATTTGAAACAACATACAATCACGTGCCACATATGTTCCTTAAAAGCCATCGGTTCGCACGTTCCTCGAGACGATTGGTCGACGTTATATCATCATTTGTAACGTAGAAATGTGTTTACATGCGAAATTTCCCTCCAATATGGCTTTGTCTTTTCATCAACATAAGCCACTCGGTCTCATCTTGCATTTTCCCTTGATCTGTCGTGGAACTCGCGAACCTCGTTTATCCCTTTTACTGCTTATTCAATGTTATTATTTTTTTTTTCAATCTTCTTCCTCTTCTTCTTCTTTTTTTGGTAATTTTATTTTATCATTAATATAATCTTGTTTTTTTTTTCCCCCATTAAAAATTTATATACGCTGACACAAATACAACGCCTCTCGTTTTTTTCTCGAGGCCTTCGAAAAAAGATCTTCATCTTTGGCGAGGTTTTTCGTCGCTAAACATATTTCTTTGCTGGTCTACGCTAATCCTAAGATTTTTTTTTTCCTCTCCTGTGTCGCTAATATCCTCGATTCGACAAAGACGAAAAAGCACGAACGAGGACACTTGAGAGAGAGATCGCTGTCTTATCTTTTCATTTCTTTTCCTCTTTTATTTATTTCATTTAATCCTTCAATCGTTTCTTCCGTTATGTATGTACATAGACACGCACGAAACATACATGTAAATTGGTATAATCGTTTATACCGTTTCGCTTATACGCGTTCGTATTATCATATCTTAGTAATCGTGATGTTATAATGATCTTTTAACCCGTTTCATTTTCCTTTTCCTTTAATTTTTTTTTCCTTTTTTACTTCCTTTTTTTTTTTTTTTTCGTTTCATTCACTTGGCACCAAAATGGCCGGCGCACGGCCACGCTTTGTTGACTGTTTCCCTTTTTTATTTATTTTTACTAAACTATCTTAGGAGTGTGAGGGATGCGATTTTAGACTTGGATGAAGATCTGGACTCTTCTGATCTATCGCGTTTTGTTTATGGTTTAATCCGTTACTATAATATTGCTACATTTGTTTGCTTCGTCTTTGGTGATTCGATTTGATGATCTCGATTGATAAATCGATGATTTAAACTATGATGAACGCGAAAAGTGAACTATTTGAAACGATTTGATTTTGGTGTTTCTTTCATTTGTACATTCTATTTGGATTCGCTATAGAAAAGTGTCTTAATCGCGTAACGAGAAACTTATAATTAATTCTCTATTTTTAACTTTGTTTCAATCGTTCAATTTTTCTTTTCTCGTAAACAAGAAAAGTTTCGTTCGTCGTAAAGGATTAAATTTAATTCAATAATTAATTCTTAGAATTGTTCATCCTATTTAAATGAGCACAATTTAACCGGGAACGATAAATTTCGTTGTATTTGCCAATGGAATGAAGAACGAAATTTTGCAAAT